AGGAGTTCTGTCATTGTTTTCTGAGTTCATATCAGTGGTGCAATACATTGTAATGTGACCACATCTTGCTAAGTGTTATCATATAGAAATATTGAGAGCTCTAGAAAAGGACGAGAAGCTGTTGAATCCCAACCCCAAATCCCAATATTGCCAGCTCCCTCTTCTCCACTATGTGAAGCAAAAAAACATACTTGGGGAAAAAACAGATCCTAATCTCTCCCAGGTTTCCTGTCTCACTTGCATAGCTCCCCCACCGCCCCCCACCCCCGTCTCTCCAGTTTACCATGCCTCCTCTCCTTCAATTTTCTCTCTCCCACCGACCCCCAAGACAACTTCACTATCCCTTTTGTCTCCCAAATACATCTAGAATCCTTCCACTTCAATCTTCCTCTCTCCCAACCAGCCATCATCTCTCCTGGATTGCTGCAATAGCCTTTTCTTTGTTTGTTTGTTTTTTAAACAACACAATCAACAAACTTGATCTAATAAATATATAGAACCATAGATCCAAAACTTAAGGACTGTTCTTTTTTTTTTTTTGCAGTATTTGGGGTTGAACCCAGGACATCACATATACTAAACAAGCACTCTATCACTGAGCTATATCCCAGCCTTATCCTCTTATCCTTCATTTTTTTTTTTTTTAAAGTAGGGATTGAATCTGAGGGCATTTTACTACTGAGCTACATTCCCAACCACCACCCACTTCTCTCTCTCTAAGAGGATCACAACTTCAAGCCCAACAGGGCAGGGTGGAGGGAGGGGGAGGGGAAGAGAGGGAGAGAAGGTCTTGCTAAATTGCTGAGTCTGGCCTCAAACTTGCAATCCTCTTGCCTCAGCCTCCTGAGTCACTGGGATTACAGGCATGTGCCACAGTCCTGATAACCTGTTCAGTCTCCCCACACACAAACTTATTTTTGTACCAGGGATTGAATCCAAGGGGGCACTTTACCACAGAGCTACATCCTCAGTCCCAATTTGTTTTCTTTTTTAATTTGCGACAGGATCACATTAATTTTTTGAGGCTGGCCTTGAATTTGAGATCCTCCTGTCTCAGCCTCCCAAATTGTTGGGGTTATAGGCCTACATCATCTTGCCAGCTAGGCTCATTCTTGTTAAGCACACCGAGATCATAAATAAAAAATCATTCACATTCTAAGGCAAGCATTTCTCAACTGAGGTAATTCAAATTTTGAAGAATTGTATAATACATACCATACTCTCTGACCAAAACAAACATTAAGCCCAGGGCCTTGAACATACTACACAAGCTCTCTAGTACTGAGCTACATCCTCAGCCCTTTTTTATTATGCTTGTTAATTTTATTTTGAGAGATTCTCACTAAATTGTCCAAGATGGCCTTGAATTTGCTATCTATCCTTCTGCATCAGCTTCCAAGTAGCTGGAATTACATATATGGGGCCCTGCACTCTCATATGTTTTGTTTTGTGATATTGTTGTTTTGTTTTGTTGGTACTAGGAATTGAACCCAGAGAGAACTCTATCACTGAGCAACTACATTCTCAGCCCTTTGCATCTTTTGAGTCACAGTCTTGCTGTGTTGCCCAGGCTGGCCTCAACATGTGATCATCCTGCTTCATCCTCCAAAGTTGCTGAGATTACAGATATGCATCACCAATTTTTTTTTTTGTTGTTGTTGTTGTTGTTTATTTGCACCTGGAATTGAATCCAGGGAGATTTTATCATTGAGCTATGTCCCCAAACCTTTATATGTTGAGACAGGGTCTCACTAAATTGCTAACAGTTTTGTTAAATTGCCAAGCCTGGTCTTAAATTTGCAATCCTCCCAACTCAGCCTCTGGGATTACAGGCATATGTCACTAAACCCAGCACTCCCATGTATTTTATTTTTGTTTTTGTTTTTAAATTTTTTTTTGTTTTGTTTTAGTAGTCAATGGACCTTTATTTTATTTATTTATATGCGGTGCTGGTGCTGAGAATCAAACCCAGTGCCTCACAACATGCTAGCCAAGCACTCTACCACTGAGCTACAACCCAGCCTACTACCATATGTTTTTAGATGAATTTTATTTTTATAATCATCTCAGATTTTCAGAAAAATTATGACAATAGTACAGAGAGTTTCCATACAATTCCCCTATTATAAACATCTTACAGGAGTAAAGATATGTTTGCTAGAAAATTAGTAAACTGGTTTCATGCATGTGTTGTGCCAGTGAGTATATGGGGTGGTGCTGGAGATTGAACCCAGGACTTCACACATTCTAGGGACACACTAAGATACACCCAAGCCCCAATGAATCAATATTGATTAATGAAATTCCATGCTTTATTCAGATTTATTTAGTTTTGGCTCCATTTCCGTGTTCCAGAACAATCCAATCCTAGTGTATCAGGACTGCCTCAATGTACAGTTGGGTGCCCACAATTTGGATCATGGGACATGTCTATGAACTTTATAATAGAAGTGACTCATTCCAGCTGGAGTACCTGATTTATCTTAAGTTAATATCAAAGAGTCAGACATATTCCCAGAGCCAGGATCAGGTTGTAAAGTTCCACATACCACACTAATAATTCTATTTATAGTGTGCTTGAAAACTATGCAGGAGGCTAGGCTAGTGGTGCAGGCCTGTAAGCCCAGAGACTCTGGAAACTGAGGTAGGAGGATCACAACTTCAAACCCAACCTCAGCAATTTAGCAAGGCCCTAAGCAATTCAGCAAGATCCTGTCTCAAAAAATGGCTGGGGATGTAGCACAGTGGTAAAATGCCCCTTGGTTCAATCCCCAGTACCAAACCAAAAAAAAAAAAAAAAAAAAAGAACAAAAACTATGCAGGAAAAACCAGGTAGAACCAGGCATGGTGGCACATGCCTGTAATCCCAACAGCTTGGAGGCTGAGGCAGGAGGGTCTGGAGTTCAAAGCCAGCCTCAGCAATTTAGCAAGGCCCTAGGCAACTCAGTGAGACCCTATCTGTAAATAAAATATTTAAAAAGGGTTGGGGATGTGACTCAGTGGTTAAGCACCCCTTGGTTCAATCCCTTGTACCAAAAGAAAAAACAAAACAAAAAAAGTTATCTAGAATTACACTGAGGCAGTCATAGTAGTTATAGCTCAAAACGTCAGCAGTCATGTCAAGCTGAATCATACAATCATTTTGTTAATCAGTTGTAATAGTTTCTCAGATTTTTTGTATTTGATGACCTTGATGGTTTGAGTACCTGGTCAAGTATTTTGTAAAATGTCTGTCAATTGGAACTTGTCTGTTTCTCTTGTGACATAGGTGGATTTGTTTATCTAACATAGTCTATGCTCATCAACATGTTTGTACATTCCTTTGTACATTCATTTCTCATACTTTACAGGGTTTTCATAAAGATGATTTTTTTTTGAGACAGGTTCTCATTATATTGCTTAGGTTGGCCAAGAACTTCTAGATTCAAGATTCTCCTGCCTCAGCCTCCCAAGTAGCTAGGATTACAGATGTTTTTGCCACTGCACCCAGCTTTTAAGAGCCCCCTCCCCCCTCCCCCTACTGGGGATTAAACCCAGGGGCTTTAACCACTGAGCCATAAACTCAGCCCTACTTTACATTTAATTTAGAGACAGGATCTTACTGAGTTGCTTAGGTAGTTGCTAAATTGCTGAAGTTGGTTTTCAACTTGCAATCTTCCTGCCTCAGCCTCCTGAGCCACTGGGATTATAGATAAGCAAGTGTCACCACTCCCTGTAAAACATTTTTAATGACTTGCTTTGTTTTTTTAATTGTTGTTTTGTTTATTTTTATTTATTCATTCATTATTTTTCAGCACTGGGGATTGAACCCAGAAGCACTGTAGCACTGAGCCACATCCCCAGTCCTATGTAATTTTTTTTTAAATTTTGGGCAGGGTCTTACTAAATTGCTGAGGCTGGCCTCAAATTTATGATCCTTTTGCCTCCAACTTCTGAGTCACTGGGATTATCGAAGTGACTCAGAAGTGACTCACACCTGGCTCCCTTGCTTTGTTATCTAAAAGTTGTGTGATCTATGTGATCTTAGACACATTTCTGAACTTCTTAAGCCCTTGGTCTTCTCCTCTGTAAATGGTGTTAGCAGAATTATAATGGAAAATTAAAGAGGACTTTTAAGCAAAGGCAAGATGTAGTGTACATTATGTTTAAAGATTATCCAGAAAGTGGTGTTCAGCTTAGGTTGAAGTGGGAAAAGAGGTACAAAAATAAATAAATAAATAAATAAATAAATAAATAAATGGAGGAAGAACTTCTTATCAGGGCTCACAAAACATTACCCGCTATTCTTTGCATCCCACCCCTTGTCTCCCCACCATGCATCTTACATTTTTGCTATCCAAATTACCTGTGTTCTCTTTGTATACTGTATGCTACTACCCCTTATGGAGGCCAGGAATGCCCTATTGCCCCATGTTCTTGGGAAACTCCTGCTCAAGCAAGACCCAACTCGAGCATACCATGCTCTATGAAGTCCCCTGCTTAAGGCTTCCCTATTACTCCACCACCCTACACAGAGCCTACAATATGAGCTGCAGGCTACTGAGCACCTTCAGGTACAGTGACCTCATTGTGTTCACTCTTCTTTCCCCAGTGCCCAGAAGGAGATCCATCACTTATCTATCTATCTATCTATCTATCTATCTATCTATCTATCTATTCATTCATTCATTCATTCATTTGGCACTGGGAATTGAACCCAGGGTGCTTTAACACTGAACTACATTCACAGCCCTTTATCTTTTTTTATTTTTATTTTTTATTTTTTGGTATTAGGAATTGAACCCAGGGGAACTTAACCACTGAGCTACATCTCCAGCCCTTATTTGCAATCCTCCTGCCTCAGTCAGATGAGTTGCTGGATTATAGGTGTGTACCACAGTACTCAGTGAGATACCACCACTAAAAAAATAAATAAATAAATAAATAAATAAAAAAGTTCTAGTGGAGAAAGGAGAGAGAAGGGAGGGCCCAGGGTCACATGAAAGGTGGAAGGCCAAAGATAAAAATCTGGAAAACTCACTTTATTCTTTTTCCTGTGCACATCTACCACTATTCACTGGTCAGAACTGCTGTGAACCAGATGCCACAGAATAATCCCAGATTCAGCAAGTGGGAAAGGTAGTCATGAGGCAGCCCAAACAGGCACATGATCACATTTATGTTTACATGAACATAGATTCCACATAAACTGCTCATTTACACATGAGAACTAAGATAAAACTAAGGATTCCTGGAATCAAGGCCTTAATGAATACTGAAGTGACAGGCCCTCAGCTGAGGCCACAGGGGAGAATGGCAGGGGTAGGAATGGAGGTACAGTCTTCTGGGCAGAGAGGTAGGCAGCCGTGTGTATAATTCTCTTGGAAGGGGTGGTCCTCCTGAGGATGGGCCAGGACAGCCAGGCGCTGCTGTACACACTCAGCTGTCAGTCGTGCTTCTGGATCAGCATCCCAGCAGTCTTCCAAGAGCTCCCTCAGTCCACCAGGGTCCTCGGAGGAATGACGGGGAAGCAGGCTTGACCCTGGGATCTTGAGTAGACCCCAAGGTTAAAAGGCATCTTCCATCTTCAATGTATACTACTCCTGTTTTTGTCTGTGTTTTGTTGTTGTTTCACTGGGCACTTTACCACTGAACTACACCCCCAGCCCTTTTTATATATTTATTTATTTTGAGACAGGGTCTCACTAAATTGCCAAGGTGGTCCTCAAACTTGTAACCCTTCTGCCTTAGCCTTCTAAGTTGCTTTACAGGAGTGCACCACTGCACCAGCCACTCCTATTTTCTGTTTCTTTCCTTTTTTTTTTTTTGCAGTGCTAGGTATTGAACCCAGGGTTTTGAACATGCTAAGCATGTGATCTATTACTGGGCTACCTAGAACTGACTTTTATTGGGTTGCATCAGAAATACAGATGTATGAGACACAACAAGAAGTCACTGGTTAGGGCTGGGGATGTGGCTCAAGCGGTAGTGCGCTCGCCTGGCATGCGTGTGGCTGGGGTTCGATCCTCAGCACCACATACAAAGATGTTGTGTCCGCCAAATACTAAAAAAAAAAAAAAAAAAAAAAAAAAAATTAAAAATATTCTCTCTCTCTCTCTCTCTCTCTTTAAAAAAAATCACACCATCATGAACTGAAAGTAGCAACTTTAAAAAAAAAAAAAAAAAAGAAGTCACTGGTTAGATTTTGGGTTCCAACATACCAGGGGAGGCACCTTCTTGGAAGCAGAGCCCAGAAAAGAAGCAAAGTCAGGGATGGTCTGCTGAAATGAGGAACAGGGCTAATTGATGGAGGAGAGTACAGAGAGACTTGAGCAGGAAAGTTGTGGATGGAATGGGGTGTATGAGACTTAGGGTGAAAGAGGGTCAACTGAGGACCTCTTTAGTTTTTCTAGTCTCAGAGGAACATGAACCAGGGAGTGGTGAGAGATGAGAGGAGACAGGAATAGATAGACTGGTCCTGGAAGAGAAGTCCTTGAAGCCCATACCCAGTCCCCAGCTGGCTAGAAATGGCCTCTTACTGTAACAAAGGATATCCAGGTAGATGGGATATAAGGGCGCCTCCTCTCCTCTACTACCAAGGCCCATAGCTCACAGGTGGTGGGAGTGTTGCCCAGTTCTGCCTCATAGGCCAGTTGGAAAGGTGATGGTCTGCCATCTGGGGGAAGGTACAAGGAATAGATGTAAGCTTGCCTTGAGGTGCCTCCCATGTAGTGAAGGCAGGGAAAGAAGGTCACAGCTTTCTGGAACCAAGTCAGTAAGCCTAGAAGGGGTGAGTGGGGCACCAGGAGTAAGAAATTTACCAGAGCTCAAATCGGGGCAGCGGCTCATGATCTCCCATAGAAGTAGAGCCAGAGAGTAAACATCTGCTCGCCGAAGAGCTGTGCCCCAGTCCTGGAGGTCCAGAGTCTTGTCCAAGAGTTCTGGCGCCATGTACCTTTGGGTGCCAGCCTAGAGAGCAACATGTGGAGGGCCAAGAATCATCTCTGTGGCAACCCTCATTGCATCCCTAATTCATGCAACATAATGCTCCCCACCATAGACTCAGCAATGTCCCTACCACTTCAGGCACTGCTGCATAGCACTATTGCCATAGTGATAGTCACAATGCTACCACCATCATCCTGTCCCTTACCCTTACCCATAGTACTCACCTCCATGATGGTAGCTGGGCCTTGGGATTGAGAAGGAGCCCAGGCAGGGGACCCACTGAAACCAGGGAGCGCCAAGGCTAGGCCTAGATCTCCAATTGCACATGACCTGTCTTCCCGAATGAGCACATTCTGGCTGCTCAGATCTCGGTGGGCAATACCTGGTTTATACTGGCCTGTGAGAAAATCCAAGGTTGAAGAGATATGGGTCTTCCTCACTCTTTTGATTCAATCTTTCCCTTCCAAGCTAAGGGAGAATTGGACACAGTAGTGTGATTCCTGACTCCCTTGGCAGCCGGTTCACCCACCATCCTGCCAGCGTTCCTCATGCAGAAATGCCAGGCCCCGGGCCAGGGAGAGTGCCATCCGCAAGGAACTTCCCCAGTCACTGGTGTGCTGGGTCAAGTAGTGGCACAGAGAGCCCTAAGGAAAAGCAGAGAGAAGAGGGGTAACTGATAAATCCCAGAGAGTAGGGATCAGTTGACAGATCTCTTTCCAAACCTGCCCTGCAGACAGACACCCTGACAGGTCCAGACCAAGACAACAACAGGCAGTGGAGGAGTAAGAATGAGCATCAGTGAGATTGATGTGAAAAATAGTAACTCCAGTAGTTGGGACTGTAGTTCAGTGGCAGAGCGCTTGCTTTGCATGTGTGAGGCCATGGGTTCTATCCTCAGCACCACATAAAAATAAACAAATAAAATAAAGGCATTCTGTCTATCCACAACTGAAGGAAGGAAGGAAGGAAGGAAGGAAGGAAGGAAGGAAGGAAGGAAGGAAGGAAGGAAGGAAGGAAGGAAGGAACTTCAAGTCAACATAACTGAGTGCATATTGTGGCCCAGGCCATGTGCACTGGCCTCTGAAATCTTTATGATGACCTTACAAGGGAAGTATTCTGATCACCTCTATTTTACAGAGGAAGAGCTTAGAGGAAGTTAAGTAAATTTGCTTAAGGTCAGTTGGTGAGAGACAAGTGGGGCACAGATCCAAGCAGTCTGACTCACGAATCACCCACTATTAACCACCACCTTATGCCAACTCAGAGAACTTGAAACAAAGAGAAGAGGAAAGTTATTCAGTGGCCCCTCTCATGAACTACCTTGCTTGAAGTGTCAGGTCTCTGTAGACATGGATAGGTAGACCTGGTGGATAGGAGCAGCAGATAAGGAACTGGAGGCAAAGGAGCAATAGAGCCCCCCATTCAACAAACATTTTTGAGCACCTTTGGTATACCAGCAACTGTATTGAGACACCAAGGTAGCTCAGGGACAGGTGAGACATAATGATAACATATAAGCATAGAATGCAATAAATACCACAATGGGGAAAAAAAAGTGTCATAGATGTGAAGCAAAAACCACTAACTGTCTATGGGAAGTCAGACACAGTTAAAGGAACAAAAAGTGATTTTTGAGCAGGGTCAGGAGGAATATGGTCAAAGGGAGGACTTTCCAGAATTCAAGATCTCAGAGATAGAGGAGCTGTAGGGGCTGATAAAATCCAGGAAAGGACTACTGCATTTGGGCACCGAAACAGGTTGAAGAGGTTGAACTACAAGAGGAAAAGGACTTGGGTCATGGAGCTCTTACACACAGGTGGAAGAGTCCTGCTGTTGGGGTGAACAGGAGAAAAGCAACTCTAGAGTCACACCGATCCTGGTAAAATGACTTTCTTTCCTGAGCCTCTGTGGATAGTAATTCCTACCTCATAGTATGTGAATATTAAGTATGAAAATGTGTCTAAAGTGCTTAATACAATGCCTATTAGATGGGAAATGCTATAGAAACAAAAAAAAAACAATCCCAACCTTTAGTAAACTGACAAGGCCCAGTGTGCTCTGGCCTCTGCCTACTTCCTCTCTTTATCCTGCAACTCATTGTTCTCCACCTCAGGGCCCTCCCTTTTAGATTTTAATACATTTGACATATGACACTTATACCTCCAGTCTTTTTATCCACCCCCATCCCCACCATACTGGGGATTGAACCCAGTAGCACTTTACCACTTTGCTATAGCCCCAGCCCTTTTTATTTTTTATTTTAAGACGGGGTCTTGCTAAATCGCCCAGGCTGGCCTCCAATTTGTGATCCCCCTGCCTCAGCTTCCCACCTGGCTGGGATTACAAGTTTTTGCCACTGTATTGGGTGAGCTATTTCTTTAACAATGGTTTTCTTTTTTTTTTCTTTTTTCTTTTTTTTAAGAGAGAGAGAGAGAGAGAGAGAGAAAGAGAGAGAGGATTTTAATATTTATTTTTTAGTTCTCGGCGGACACAACATCTTTGTTTGTATGTGGTGCTGAGGATCGAACCTGGGCTGCACGCATGCCAGGCGAGTGTGCTGCTACCACTTGAGCCACACCCCCAGCCCGACAATGGTTTTCTTTAAGGTTGGGAATATTAACTGTTTGGTTTCTCCCTTCCCTTATCTATATTTTAAGGGTTAAAAATATTAACATGAGCCAGGTGGGTGGTATACACCTGCAGTCCCAGCTACTTGGGCATTGAGACAGGAAAATCACTGTGCCCAAGAGTTCAGGGCCAGCCTGGGGAACATAGGGAGAGAAAAAAAAAAAAAGTGTGCATTACTTGTGTAATAAAAAAGAAAAAGACAAGCCACACATGTTGGTGTATGACTGTAATCCTAGTGAAGGCTGAGGCAGGAGGATCGCAAGTTTGAGGCAAGCCTCTTCAATTTAGCAAGACCCTAAGCAATTTAATGAGATCCTGTCTCAAAATAAAAAAATAAAAAGGTTTGGGGATATAGCTCAGTGGTAAAGTACTGTTCAATCCCCAGTTTTTTTTTTTTTTAATTGCTTTAAGGAAGAGAAAATCTAAAGCAGAAGAATAAGTGTATATAGCCAGCCCCCTGCCATGCAATCTCCCCCAACTACACACTCACACACACACACACACACACACACACACACACTCCTTAGTCCTCACCTTGGGATGCAATTCCAGTATCAGCAGGGGCCCAGAGGGCAAGGAGCCAGGGCCCCCCTGGCCAGCAGTAATAAAGCGGACAATGTGGTCATGCTGTAGGCCTGGCAGCTCATACACTGCTCTTTCAGCTCGGAACTGGGCCACAGCCCTTGGAGGGAAGGCCTTGATGGCTACCAGCTCTCCTTGCAGCCTTCCGGCCCACATCACTGCGTGACTTCCTTCTTGGATTACCTAGTGGGAACACTGTGCTGGGTGCAGGCCTCCGAACTAACACCAAGGCCAGATTTTCTCCCCAGTACAACCTCCAGGAATGCCCAGAGGAGCCCTTCCTCCCTCCAGGGGGCACCTGGGAGAAGCATAGCTCTGGCAGCTCCGGCAGCTCCTCACTCCAGTCCCTGCCTGAGTTTGGCTCTGGCTGTGGCCCACCTTGCACTCTGTAGGCTTTTCGCTGTAGCAGGGCTGGTTGCAGAGAAGAACCTGAAGGTCAGGGTGTATAGGCATGGGGACAAGGGAAGGGGACTTTGTAGGAAGGAGTTGTCTGTGGAGGTCATGAAAGACAGTGTATAGAGATCTCAGGAATGTGGGGTCAGTGGTGACAAGAGACTCAGAGCTTGAGGGCAGTATCTTGGTCATAAGGGAGAGATGGGGCAAATTAGTACCCAAGATGATGCTGCTCAGTAGAAGCAGGAGGAGGAGAAGCAGCCCCAACAGCACCAATGCCATCCAGTTGGACTCGCCTGGTCATTAAGGCAAGAACAGAGGTGGGTGAACATTGCCCCAAACTGCTCTCTGCACCTCTCCCCTGTTAAGAGAGCTTGCTTCTCAACCCACCCCCATCCTAGTCACAAGCCCCCTTATCTCTCTGTCACCAGGGCAACCAGCTTCCCAAGGCCAGGAGGAGGAAAGCTTAGGGAGGGGGTAGGGTGAGAACTAGACCTGGTTCTACCTCTCCTCCTTACCTGGGCCTCAGGATGGGGCTCTAGCCAGTAATTACCTGGGGTAGCCTGGGTACCTTGGGGGCCAGGAACCCCCAGGTTCCCTGGAGAAGGCAGATAGCTGTAATTGGCATTGCAAAAGTCAGTGCCACAGGAGCAGGTGAAGAGAGTGGAGCCAGGGCTGGGATGGGCTCGGGGACTCAGGTCACAGTGGAGGGATTCACAGCCTGGCTCATCACTGTCTCGGCATCCTGATGGGGTAGGATTAGGGGAAGAGTAGAATAGAAGGAACAAGGGAGAGGACAAAATGGGGTCTGGAATCAGAAAGGATAACTCCCTTCTCTGCGAGAAGCATCCTTCTATCTCACATAGGCTTTTCTTTTCCTCCACATATTTCCATCTCTCCCCTTCTCCCCCAGGACATTCCTGTCTCCCACCCTAACTATCACTTGCCATATACTTTGCCATTCACCTTGCATTTCCACCTGGGCCCGGCCTTGGGTCAGGTTCCAGATCCCAAAGCAGCAGTGACTGTAGAGGCAGCGAATAACCCTGGGAGGCCCTGGTCCTGCATCTAGCAGCTCCCCCAGTGTCTTTGTGCTTCCCCGCACTCCAGGGGCCTCAAAGAACACACAGGTCCTCCTGTTTGGTGGTGCTGAAACCCAGGATGGGGAAAGGGAAGGATTCAAGACGGGTGTGAATGTAGGGGCAAAAGGATACACAAAACATGATTTTCATTTCCCAGGGTCAGCAAAGCCACAGGGGAAACCCAGGTCAGCAGAGGCCTGGAACCTGATGCCACCACAGGGACACATGACTACCCTTCACCCTCACTCAACCAGCCCACTCACCACTCTTCCAAAGTGATGGCTTCTGCTTCAAGAGTCCTTTTTGCTCACTGAGTGGGTGGAAAGATCCTGCCCCTCCCTATAGACACTCACCTTGTACAGCTGTAGGAAGCAATGCCCAAAGTCCCAATCTCCCCAGCATCTTGTTGAAGGATGCCAGCAGCAGGAGGAGGACAGCATAAGCCAGCACAGCTGCCCCAGAGCAAAGCTCCCTTCAGATACAGGGCACTATGGAGCTTCCAAGCCTTGAGTCCCCAACTCCACCCCCTCTGTCCTATCCCAGTCTCGCTGTGGGGGAGAAGGCTGCTGTGGGGGAGAGAGTGGGTATGAGGAAAACAGGGAAAGAAAGGGAGGAGCAGAGAACCAATCTCATATCCTCCTCTCTTTAGCCACCTCCTATTTTCTCTGAAGAGCAGGAGGAGGGGGATTTGGAGGCCCAGCTGAGAATCCAGTGATACCTAACTACAAATCTCTGCCCTTTGCTGACCTTGGAAGAAGGTGCAGGATCCAGTCAGCCTTTCTCAGGCTAGAAATCAAAGCAAGGTCAAATACCTAGAGCCATTTAGCTTTGCCCAAGATCCCCTGTAACTCATGTATTCAGGGCTCAAATCTACAGCTTCCTGGGCAGAGGGAGGCCTTATACCCCATACTAGATTTTACCTCATTTTTCAAACTCATGGGTCAGAAAGTACATAAAATTTTTCAGAGTTAAAAAAAATGACACTGAAAATAGTTACAATGGTTAATTTTTTATGTGTATTTTACCATAATAATAAAACAGCTGGGGATATAACTTAGTAGTAGAGCACTTGCCTAGCATATGTGAGGTTGTGGGTTCAATCCCCAGCACTACAAAACAAAGAAAGAAACAAAAATCACATGGATTCACACACTGAGCAAATTACCATTATTGAAGCAATTACAACTTTTTATTGAGCACCTACTATGTGCTAGGGTAGTTGGGGCTATGCATTTTACAATCATCTAATTCCCCCGCTGAGATGTTTATTATATCTCCACTCTATAAACAAGAAAATTCAGTTTAGGTAAGTTGCCCAAGGTCAGTAGAAAACAGCAGAACTGTGATATGAACCTAGGCAATTCTGACTCAAAAGACCAGGTTCTATTCTTTGTATTATGTAATGCTGTCTAAAAATGAATACAAAATTCAGCAATGAAAAAATTTTCCATTAAATGCATACTTCAAAATTTGAATTTGGATTACTGAAAAAATATCCAGCATTATCTGCCAGCAGACCACTAATTAGAAGGTAGGTACAGTTCAAACTATCACCACCAGAGGACAGCAGACATAGGACAAAGTCTGCGCTGTGGCAAGAAGGCAGAAAGTAACTTCTCTGATGATTAATAAACACAGTACACCTCCTATATGTATTAAGTTCTACAAATATAAAATATGAAGGGAGAATATAGGGTATGTAAAGAGAATGTCAGCAGGAGCTGGAAGAAGGTCAATGGCTTGTGTTGCAACAGACAGAAGCCCAACTCCACCAGATTCTTCCCCAAAGTATCCACAGTCATAGGTAATTATTTCCACAACTACAAGCAGCTGGGTCCCATTAGATTTAGTCAGAGGGGATTGGTTCCCTATTTTTCAAGCTTTCTGCCCCCTAGTGGCTTCCTGGAAAGCTTGTCAGAATAAACTGGCTAGATGGGAAGGGGTGGGGTGGTGGTAAGTGTATGAGTACTCTCTGAGCATGCTGAGGCCTTTCAGGAGGGGGAGTAAAAGCTCCAATGATTGTGTAATAGAAGCTGGTAGAACGACTAGGACTAGAGACAGCTACTCATCCTTTCTTGGGCCCTTCTAAGAGCCTGTGGGGCTGTGCCAGTGAAGTCCATGAAATGTTGTGCTCAGTTCCAGCTATCTTCCTTCAGCTGCTCCAAGATGAGATAAGTCTAAGGTGGGGGTGGGAGTTGAAGATCAAATAACTTCTTTTGTCTGGTATGTCTCAGGAGGCTGTCTCCTCAGAGTGAGACAGGGTAAGGTTGAGACAAAAAGGTAGTCTCCTCAGTGAAAGCTTTAAATAACTACTCCTAAGGAAGAAACAATCGATCAGGTTGACGGGAATTACACCTGCTCTGGGTAGTTAGGTTTTAAGAGTTGAGACAAAAATAAAAAGTGTAATAATCTGCTAGGTGTAGTAACACATGCCTATAAGCCCAATCACTTGGGAGGCTAAGGCAGAAGGATAACAAGTTTGAGGTTAGCCTGGGCAACTTAGTGAGACGCTGTCGAAAAATAAAAATTTATAAACAGAATGTGAATGTAGTTCAGTGGTTGAGTGCTTGCCTAGCATGAGCAAGGCCCTGGGTTCAATCCCTAGTACCACAATTAAAAAAATAAAATAAAAGGGCTGGGAACATACTCAGTTGTCAAATCCTTGCTTAGCACTCAGGAGGTCCTACGTTCAATCACCAGTACTGTGGAAAAGAAAAAAAGAGGTAGGATGGTAGTGGTGGCAATAGTCTAACTGAGGAATTAGGAAGGTCTTAAAGGACTACCACATAGGAGTCAAGACTTTATAGATCCCACCAAACTTTTTAAAACATATTTTTTTAAGTTTCAGATGGACACAATACCTTTATTTTATTTATTTATTTTTATGTGTTGCTGAGGATGGAACCCAGTACCTCACATGTGCAAGTGCTCCACAACTGAGCTACAACCCCAGCCTCTACATAATCACTTTCATTAGGGCTCCCTGATTCAAGTCAGCAATGATCCAATAATTTATTTTTATTTTTTTTAGTTGTTGATAGACCTTTATTTTATTTATTTTTATGTGGTGCTGAGAATTGAACCCAGTGCCTCACACATGCTAGGCAAGTGTGCTTCCACTGAGCCACACCCCCAGCCCCCCAATTATTTACCTTTGATCCTATTGACTACAAAGTAAGCTGTTCCTTTATTTAATTCAGCAGGTAGCTATGGATTTCAGTCTAGAAAAGGTTTGTTAGGTGCTGGGCCTAATAATTTCAGACAGAAATTATTCCTGCCCTTCAGGAATTCATAGTCTAGAAAGTCAAGCAGCTATATCAATAAGAAGCCAGAAAATTACGTGTCACACTAGAGATATGCCCCAAAACTGTTTACAAGAAGAAAGATCAAGTAATTATGCCTAAGACATAGAAGATAAAGTAAGAAAGATGCCAAGAGGGTTTCAGAGAAAGGGACATTTAAATCATCTTAAAGGTCAACAAAGGGGTAAGGGGTATAGCTCAGTTGCTAGAGTGCTTGTCTCACAAGCCCAAAGCCCTGGGTTCAATCCCCAGCACCAAAAAAAAAAAAAAAAAAAAAAGGTCAACATAATGATTTTAAGAGAGTGGTTGTTTAAAGCAAAGAGTAGGAGTAAAGGGCTGGGGTTGTGACTCAGTGGTAGAGTGCTCGCCTAGCAAGTGTGAGGCACTGGGTTTGATCCTTACACCATATAAAAATGAAATAAAGGTATTGTGTCCACCTACAACTAAAAATTTTTTAAATTTTTTTTTTAAAAAGGTAGATATATAAACACAAAGCATGCTGGTCATGGTGCTGCACCCCTGTAATCCCAGGAGGCTCAGACAGGAAGATCACAAGTTTGAGGCCCGTCTCAGCAACTTTCCAAGACTCTATCTTACAGGGCCAAGGATATAGTTCAGTGGTAAAGTGCCCCAAGTTAGATCCCTGGTGCCAAACATACACAAGCATGTATATTTAGTGACAAGAAAGCAATGAGATTTGAGGCAGTAAATCAACATAGATATATACTGGGACCAGATTGGAAAGGTTTTCAATTTTATAACAAGGAGCTTAGACTTCTACTAAAAGCAAAGGATTTTAGGCAGGGGCCTTGTGGCAATGTGGAAGATGAATGACTGGGGCTTATGGAGATCAGTTATAAGACATAACCAGGGGCTGGGGATGTGGCTCAAGCGGTAGCATGCTCGCCTGGAATGCGTGCGGCCTGGGTTCAATCCTCAGCACCACATACCAACAAAGATGTTGTGTCCGCCGAGAACTAAAAATATTAAAATTCTCTTTTTCTCTCTCTAAAAAGAAAGATCTCTCTCTCATAAAAATTCTCTCTTAAAAAAAAAAAAAAAAAAAAGACGTAACCAGTAACCAGAGTGAGCACTGACTGGGTGCACCCAGTTAGGCAGAATTAAATTCCAGGCCAATCTTGGCAATTTAGTGAGTATTTGTCTCAAGATAAAAAAATAAAGGGCTGGGGATGTGGCTCAAGCAGTGGCGCGCTTGCCTGGCATGCGTGCAGCCCGGGTTCGATCCTCAGCACCACATACAAACAAAGATGTTGTGTCCGCCGAAAACTAAAAAATAAATATTATAAAAAGATTCTCTCTCTCTAAAAAAAATAAAATAAAAGAGAGCTGGGATTGTAGCAATACGCAAACAAAACAAACATGAAACAACAAAAAACACTATAGAGGTAAAATTGACTCCTAGGACTAGCAATTAATTGCATATGGGTAGACGAAAGGGAAAACTAAAAGATGATTCTGAAGTTTCAAGCATGAGTAATTAAGGGGCAGGTAATATTGTTAAGGGAGATGCAGAATACAAAGGATTATTTCCCCTTCTAATACACCAAGTTCATCTGCAGGATGTTTAGATAAAATTGTCCAATAAGTAGGTTTTCAGGTCAAGACAAAGTCAGGGCTTGAGATTTGGGAGTCGACAACATGTATGTTAAAACTAAAGAGTGGATAAGACTTGGGCTTGGGTTGTGGTTCAGCAGTAGAGCACTCAGGTAGAGCGCTGCACTGCTCTACCGCATGCAAGGCCCTGGGTTCGATCCTCAGCACCACATAAAAATAAACAAATAAAATAAAGGTTTTGTGTTCAACTACCAAAAAAAAAAAAAAAAAGTGGATAAGACTCTTTCAATGAGAAAGATAAAGGGGCTGAGGCTGTAGCTCAGTGGCAGAGTGCTGGCATAGCATGTGTGAGGCACTGGTTTCTTAGCACTGCATGAAAATAAACAAATAAAATAAAGGTATGCTGTCCGTAACAACTACAAAAAAATAAAACAAAATAAAAAAGAAAGAACATAAGACAGGAAACATCAACATTTAAGGGACAGAGGCAAAAGTGACTATTAAAGAGACTAAAAAGAATATTCAGACATATTGAAAGAAAATCAAGAACAGTATCAGTGTCACACTCTATGTGACAAAAAGCTTTAAGGTGCAGTAGTCATAAAGAGGCTGATAATTGAAAGATCACTGGAGCTGCCATCAGGTCCTGATGTTAATGAGAAAAATTCTGGTTAAGTAATTGGTGCTAACAAAGTGGCCTGAGGATGAATAAAGAGGAAAATGAGTGTAAACTGATTTTGCTAACTGAAAAATAAAAGAACTAAATCAGTAGCTGGAAGAATAAGCAGAAGTTTTTCAAAATGGAACATGCATAAGAGGATGACAAAAGGAAACCAAAGGATAGCTTGAAAAGGAAAAAGGTATCATTGAAACAAAGAACAAAAAGTCAAAGAAATGAGGTTGACAGCACAAGTTGACAAGCAGGGCTGGTCTTGCAAAGGAAAAATAACACTTCTCTACTAGGAAGAGAGAAAAAGGTTAAATTAGTGAAAATACAGATGTTTTTAATGAGAAGGATAGGAAAGTTTGAAGAAATGCTTCCATTTCCTCAATGAACTAAGAGGCAAATCATCTAATATAAATTAGGTCAGGATCCAAAAACTAGCAATCAATAGTGTCTGTCTTACTTGCCAAACTATGAAATCCTTGATGACAAGGACCTCCTTAAGTTTTTTTTTATTAATACTTTTAACCTAACTTAGTACCTCACACATAGTAAAGGATCAATAGATGTTTACTAAATGAATAGATAAGACAACTATTATGAGCTCTCATCTAACTAAGGCTGCAAAACCAAACCCATAAATACACACTCCAAAACAGACAAGTGAACCCCCAATAAAGTCAAGTATTAAAATGTCATATAAGGAAAGCAAATGGCTGGGTTTACCCATGGTTGAGTGCTGACAAAGAAGACACAAATAGTAGAATAAGAAAATTAACTGAGAATCCTGGTAAACAACAGTTTAACAATTGACCAAATATTTGTTAGGTAATATAACAACACATTTCTTAGAAAGTAAAACTAGAGCCTGATGGAAAATTGGGAAAGTTGTCAGAATTTCTAACTTCAATTCAGAAGGGACCAGAGACCAGATTTAAACAATACAGGGTACAAGAAATGCAAAGTATACCAGGTCTAGATCTTGGTTTCCAAATGACATTCTCCAATACAAGGAACCTTAGAGGATTAGGTGATCAGAAGGCAGGGGCAGGAAAAATACAAGATAAGCCTGAAGCATCTTATGTATCTAAAAGCAATAAAGTGGCAGGCAATGTGGCACACACCTGTAATCTCAACAACTCTGTAGGATGAGGCATGAGAATCCCAAATTCAAAGCCAACCTCAGCAAGTTAGTGAGGCCCTGTCTCTATAAATAAAATATAAAAAAGGATTGAGGATGAGGCTTAGTGGTTAAGTGCCCCTGGGTTCAATCCCTGGTACAAAAAAATAAAAAGGAAAGGGAATGTAGCTCAGTGGTAAAAAAACCTTCAATTCAATCCCCAGTGCCCCCCCAAAAAAGCAATAAAATTAAAAAAAAAAACAAATTGTTTACAAAAAAATATGATCAACATGAATTCCCAGAGGCCAAAGTTGGGTTAATTGAGAAATTAAGTAATGTAGTATTAAATTATAATCCAAGTATAAGATAAATATACATGAATCCACACTAATATAAATGATGGTCTAATAAAAGAAGATGAAAATTCCTTACAGAATTCCAAATAACAGATACAGATTATGCCCCCTCTGAGGTAAAGCTTAATTTCCACCAACCCATTCAAGTTGGGCTAGTCTTAGTGATTCACTTACTAAGAGTAGGCAGAGAAAAAAGTTAACTTTATCATGCAGAAATCTGGCAAATATTAACATTGATAATGTTACTTGCATACCATAGACGCTATCATTGTGTTATGAGAATGGTATTTTACCTGTGGTATTCATTCAAAAACCATAAGCTGGGGCTGGGATTGTGGCTCAGTGATAGAGCACTTGCCTAGCACATGTGAAACACTAGGTTTAATCCTCAGCACCACATAAAAAAATAGCTATTGTGTCCATCAACAACTAAAACAAACCAACCCCCATAAGCTAACAATGAGCAAAACATCAGACAAACCCAGATTGGGGGCTACATATAGGCTATCTGGCCAATATTCCTCAAGACAGACCAAGTTATGAAAAACAAGGAAGGACTGTCACAGAGGATACAAAGGATATGTGATAAGTAAATGCAATGTGTTACCCTAGAATGGATCCTGGAATAGAAAGAGAGTATCAGTGGAAAAACTAATGAAACCCATAGTAAGAAGTTCAGTTCACATAATGTACCAATGTTAGCATCTAAGTTTTGACAACATACCATGGTAAAATGTCAGGAGGAGGAAAACTGGATAAGGGTAAAACTCTGTACTCCCTTTGCAATTTTTCTATATTTTTTTTATTCTTTCCAATACTGAGGATTTAACCCAGGGACATTTTACCACTGAGCTACAACCCCAGTGCTTTTTATTGAGATAGGGTCTCACTAAATTGCTGAGGCTAGCCTGGAACTTGCAATCTTCCTGCCTCAGCCTCCTCAGCTGCTGGGATTATTGGTGTGCACCACGTTCTGTAAAACTAAAATTACCCTTTCCCAATGAAAAGAAAATTGTTCCAAAATAAAGACCATATTAAAAAAAAAAAAAAAGGAGGAGGAAGAGTTGGGGCTGCCCCTGTTTCTTTTGGCTAGCCTTGTTTTCCTTTTTAGCTTTTTGGAGTACTGGGATCAAACCCAGGACCTGGCACAGGTGTTAGGCAAGAGCTTTAAAACTAAACTATACTCCCAGCCCTTAGTTCTCCACTCTTCTGGGAAGCTGTGGAACAGTGACCTGATCATGAAACTTTACCTGGGATTGAAGTAGGGTAAACTTCACTAATTAACACATTCAGGAACACAACTGTTGTATATCTGGAAACATTTGCAGAGTTCAAAATATGAAGTTGTAACCATATTCTCCCCATTCCCCACCCTCTCAATACACCAGAGACATGGCTTTTTTTTATTAAAAAAAACTTTTTTTAATTGGTTTACAAAGGAGCTACAGACTACATTGAAACTAATCTTTGTACAAAAGGAGGGGGAAGAGCCCCAAAACACCCAGACAAAAGGTAGGGGGAAAAACAAGAAAGAAGATACAAAAGGAGCAGGAAGAAACTGAAAAACAAGAAATTAGCATCATACATACACAAGAGTAGGCTGGAAAAGAGCAAGATGATAGACCATTAAAAGTATTTACCCACACAGCCCTGGTGATAATTGGTTTGGAATCAACAACGAACACACAGCATGAGATTATTAAGAAGTTTAAAAGGCAACAGTGGTATGGAGACTGGTTATTGCCAGTGTTAAGAGAGAGAAACTTGTTTTAGGCACCAGAGATTGAAGCACCATCCCTCGCCCCAGGATGATGACAGACTAGGGAAGAGGAGCAGGCCCTGGGACAGCTGCCACTGGTGTATAGAATATCAGATATTCTCCTCATATTCTTTTTCCCCTAGACTCTAGGTAAGGGCCATGCATGGGATGCCACTGGGAGAAAGGGATGATCAGAAATATGAATAGCTGCCCCTGTTGACATTGTTCAAGAGCAGTTAGTTACTGGCAAAGCTGGGGAGAGGAAGCCCAATCCTCCTCTGTGGAGAAGGCACAGAGTGATTCCTGAAGGCAAGAAATAGGAAAGCACATACCCCAAAACAGTGCCAGCTGGGAGGTCCCAAGGGGAGGTATCAACAAAGTCCTCACTACCTGCACCCCCAGCCAAACCCGACTTTTTTATTTTTTATACTGAGCTGGGACTTCAGAGAATTAAAGGACAGATCATGGTTGACTAAATGAAGGCTAATCCCTACACTTAGACAAGGAAAGCTGGGCTGTTTGAAGGAGCAAATGGGAAAATACTCCTTTCCTGCAAATGAATGTTGTGGAGAAAATCTTTTTGGGTTTGTTAAAATCAAAGTGGAGGAGGCCTAGGGGAGGAATGAAGCCAGGAACTTCCCTTCTTTTCCTTTCCTGGTCTTCAATCTAAGGCAAGTGAGCCAAGTGTGGAAGAGGGAGTATAAATTTAAGCTTAAGGCTGCTTAATGTCTTCCTGGGGGCTGGTATTTACGGAAGGCAGACAAAGAAAAGAAATAGGTCAACCTCAAAGCTGGTCTGCTCATCCTCCTAGGTCTGCACCCCCGGAGTAGAGCCAAGACAGGCACCAGAAAGAACACAGTCTCCCAAACAAAAGTAATAACATGCCCATATTTTATCAGCAGTTCTCAAAAACAATGTTTTCCGGGGTTGGAGAAGTGCCATATCCTCCTCCCTTCCCCCAAAGCTACTGCTGCCACCTTTCATCATTGCACATAAATTACTGGCTCTCTTCTACGGGAAGATGAACTCTGAGATTTCACATTTCTCCTCCCAACCCCAAGAGGCTACACAGCTTTGGCTAAGGGGAAGAAAAGTTATGCAAAGAGCCCCTTATCATTTGAGGCAGCCAAACTGTCCTCATTTCCTTGGTACCTGATCTCCAAAACTCTTTTGATCTGATCCCAAGGTCCAAAAGGCATCAGGGTACTTACAACTGAATGAAAACTTTAAGCATGTAGCACCAGGGCTCCCCCCAAAGCATAATAGGGGCCTGATTAGCACCCCAGGAAAAAACCCTCAAAAAGTGTATAAATTTATTGCGTCCTAGCAAAGATCTGCAGCTTCCAGTATTCACACAATGTGAAGATATTTAACAATACAAAATATATTCTGAAAGTCAAACACCTGCAGTTCATAGTGCTTTCTCAGATTTGTTAAAAAAATACAATGCTTAGTTTCCTATATAGGATATACAAAAGCAAAAAATATATATATGTATATAGTAGAAATAAATCAGCCATAGTAATTTACAGCTTTTGTCTCCAACCCTCCCCCAATCATAATCTTTACCCCATACTTCAGTCTATACTTTTGGGGATCAAAGGTTCTATTTATTCTGAAACTAGGCTGAGAAATATCCATTAAACTACATTCTGCATAGCACCCAAAAACAAGAGTGCCAGCTGGGAGGTCCCTGAAGGAAGATGGTGTGGGTTGTTACTTCTCTGGGTAAAAAGTGAGACAGTTAAGTGATAAGCAGATGAATGTGAATGGGCAACCTGAAAGAACAAGACAATGAGTGCTTTCATTTTACTAGTCCTGGTATGCCCAACCCTGCAAGGTTTGGTCATCAAAAAAAATTTTTTTTAAATCATGAAAATATGTTCGGAATATGCATGTCAGTTACATTAATTTCTGCTGGCCTAAAGTTCAGGAAAGGGGAATTTTCACTAAAGAGCTCCTGACTCAAGGAATGTAACCACCTAACTTCTCCTGGAAAAGACTAAATGGCTTGCTGCTGCTGGGAGACAGAAGCAGAAGTTAATTCCATTTGTGGGCCAAACAAGATGCTGGATCTAAAGCTTCCTCTGTGGGAAAGAAATAGGATAAGTACAATGAATTGGATATAAATTCACTCATGGTAATGATAATGAACCAGCAACTTTTCACCCAAGAGAGAAACACCATCAAATAACCTCATCTAAAAGCTTGTAGTTCTCAGCATCAGTAAGCTAGTTTGCAGCTAATAATTTCATACTGGAGAAGATTCCATTCCTGGAAATGCTCTATGGAGTAAAATACTGTATACTCCAGCATGTTAATTTGTCCCTTTCCTCCAAAAGATGCCAAAGAACATGATTACAGACATAAAATAACCGACTCTAAGTTCTGCCTTTCAGTGGGAATAAAGTGTGTGATGATGAACAGTCATGGATGACTTTTACTTCAGGATTCTTAATCCGATCTGGGTAAAGTTCCTTGCAATAGTTCCTGAGGGTTGATAACAGTATTGTCTTCAGAGAAAGGACCAAATGGAGTGAACTATTGTTTAGAGTATTAACAGGTATTATATTTCAATTTAACAACAGCATAAAGTTACCCAAAACTTAATTTGAATGGATTTTATATAAAATGTATAGTAGAATCATAGCATCATCTATTGATAGCCAAGATAAAAAGATTTAAGTACAAGGACTCTGCCATAGAGCTGGATGATGGGTTTCACTTTCACACAAAAATAGTTTCTTCTTTAGAAAGTGCAGAATATCCCCCAGTCATAATTATAACTGATTTAGCAAAAGCAGAGAAATGACTTCAGGAACATACCCAGGTTTTAAGACAGATTTCTAGGTAATGGGCCTGAAAGGCATTTTGATCTGAATTTATTTTCCAACAATTTCAAATATAATTTCTCCTCTGTATGTAGATATATACAGGCACAAACACACAGTCATACACACAGTCATACACAAACACTTCTCTATCAGATCAGGGTAATTTTTTATTGTAGGTCTCTTTTAATATTGGCTAACAGAAAACCTATCCCCAACCTAACAGATAACACTCATACACACAGCCATTTCCACACTTCCTCACAGTGAAAAGCTCTCTAACAAGATACCAGAAGGTCAAGAGAGACAATGCTTTAATGGCTGGGCTTTGAGGACAATTCTGGTTGCATTTAAATCTCAGTGCCAAATGCACCAAGAGTTCCCTGCCGCTATAATTTTTGGATCAGTCTCTTCTGGAATCAGTCCATGGAGAAAGCAGGATGATTTCTCCCAATCTCTCCTATAAACCACAGTGGTAAGACAAGATTTCTTTTTGTTCTGGGCTATCATTCCCATGATCATGTGCTTCCCTTTCCCTTAGGAACCACCCAAGTACATATAAGGAAGAATTAAGGGAAAAAAATCATAAGAGCCACTGTCTTGCCACTAGCACATGCTCTGGAGTTCTGCAGAATGGAAACCTGAACAGATTTATTGGCTGATGTTCTTTAACAACACAAAGGGAAAGAAACTACAGGAATGTTCAGAAGAGGAAGTGTACTTCCTTTCAGAGTATGAACTCAGAAGCCCATACATCAAGGCTTAGAGCTACCTTGGAAGACAATGGTATCAAAGTCCAAATAACTCCCAACTATTCATCACTTCCTCTTCTGAGCACATCTTTTTCCTATTGGAATTCCCTATTTATTTATTTATTTGACTACTTTTTGACAATTTATATAAACAGATCACAGATTATCCTGTTTAAATGGTCTCTTGTACAATTCCACAGAAAGACTTGCTTGATTCTTGATGCTTAGAGGAGCTAATGAAGGGAGATGCCTTTGACTCTCCAGCACCATGAAGGTGCCTGCGTCAGGAGTATTTTGAACATGCCCTCCATAGCTATCTCAAGCATCATACTAGGCTTCAAGTTTTTCCATTCTGCTGCTGGGACTAAGGCTTTTAAAAGATTGACAGAAGTGCCTCATCCAGGGACCATTACCAAAAACAAAACATGAAGTGATTAGGTGAGAGAAGGGGAGATAGAAAGGGTTGAGTCAAGAAAGGAGTGCAAGAAGCTGATCCCAAATAAAAAGATAAAATTAAGAAAGGAAAAACATTATGTATGTATATATAAACTAAAAGCAGAGCATATAAATGCTTACTCTGGTGGGAAGCCAAGACAACATCTACAGAAAAGCTTGATGTGTCACAATAAGGCTCAGCCCTAAGGAAATAAGGCAATATATAAAAAAAAAAAAAAAAAAAAAAATGACCAAGGTATTTTGGTCACAGAATGGTCTCCTTCCTCCTCCCAGCCAACCCCTGTGAATGCATCTCTATATATCTTTATATATATATGCATATATATATATATAATATAGAATCTGTTTTTTGTTAAAAAGTATTTCAATGATCATATATATTTATCAAGGCATGATGGCTTTAGGTAAGGGGGGGGGATCCATCATGGGAGAGCTGAGAAGGGGAAACGAAGGAATGGGAGACTGGGGTAAGAAGTATAAGAAGAAACTGGGATCAAACAAATGCTCATCAAAGGGTGGCACCAACAGAATTTTCACTGATGTTTCCCACCTGTAAGGAGGCACTGATGATACGGGTGGGTGTCAGAACCCCATCTCTTCTTTGTATACATCCCCAAACTCTTCCCACCACCATGCATTTTAATGCCTCATGGCTCTCTCTCTCCCACATGTCTCTTGGACCCATGCTAACTTGCATCCCGGGGGTTGATGGGTATTATTGGCCCATAGGTCTCTTGCCCCGGGTGCCTGATCTCAGAAGCCATTGCCACTGATATTAATGGACTGCAGATCCGCCACCTGCATGACGTTGATGCCACTGTTGGCAAGACGGGCAATACCCTCAGGACAGATGGCCTCCATGGCTACCATATTGGTGGTAATAAGGGCTGAAGGGGTGGCAGTGCCGCTGCCTTCTGAACCTGCCCCACTGTCCAGGGGCAAAGTGCCCACACTCAGGGCTACACCTGGGCCTCCCTTCTTATTCTGGTGGGTCTTGATATGCTTTGACAGGTGATCACTCCTCATGAAGCGCTTAGGACACTCAGGGCAGGCAAATTTCTTCTCACCTAGATAAAGGGAGAGACAAAAGGTAAGAAGCTGACATGTCAGGAAGTGGAGATATCTTGCCTAATTTACCACCTTCAAATTACATCAGGTGCGGTGGCTCACACTGACAATTCAAGTAACTCAGGGGGCTGAGGCAGGAGGATTAAGTTCAAGGTCAGCCTCAGCAATTCAGGCCCTAAGCAACTTAGCAAAAGCCTGTCTCAAAATAAAAAACAAGCTGAGCATGGTGGGGCACACCTGTAATTCCAGGTGCTAGGGAGGCTGAGGCAGGAGGATCCCAGGTTCAAAGCCAGCCTCCATTAACAGTGAGGGGCTAAGCATCTTGGTGAGACCCTGTCTCTAAAAATACAAAACAGGGCTGGAGATGTGGTTTGGAAGTTGAGTGCCCCTAATTTCTTTTTTTTTTTTTTTTTTTTAAAGAGAGAGTGAGAGAGGAGGGGGAGAGAGAGAGAGAGAGAATTTTTCATATTTATTTTTTAGTTCTCGGCGGACACAACATCTTTGTTGGTATGTGGTGCTGAGGATTGAACCCGGGCCGCACGCATGCCAGGTGAGCGCGCTACCGCTTGAGCCACATCCCCAGCCCCCCTAATTTCAATACCTAGTACCCATTCCAAAATTAAATAAATAACAAAAGGACTGGAGATGCAGCTGCATGGTAAAATGCTCCTGGGGTGATCCTCAGAACCATAAATATGTAAATAAACAAACAGATAAATAAATAATTACATGAGATAGAATAAAGTCAGCCTTGGAAGGTGACAAGAACATGAGCAACCTAGCAAGTATAGATTCCTTTCTTGGGGAAGAAAAATAGATAAAGGTTGGTTAATACTGAGTAAAGCAAGGCAGAACTTAGCAGGAAAGTAGCTAGCAAGTATAGTTTCCTTTCTTGGGGAAGAAAAATAGATAAAGGTTGGTTAATACAGAGTAAAGCAAGGCAGAATTTAGCAGGAAAGTAGGCAGGACAAAGACCAAGAAGAGCAATGGGGGGGGTGTTGAGGTTGTGGCTCAATGGCAGAGTGCTTGCCTAGCATGCAGGATGCACTGGGTTTGATCCTCAGCCCCACATAGAAATAAAATAAAGACATCATGTTCACCTAAAACTAAAAAATAATTATTAAAAAGAAAAAAAACAAGAGTGATGGGGGCAGTGCTTCTCTTCAAAGTCAACTTGAAATCTAGTTTCTTCCATCTTCAAATTTTTTAGATCAATTCCAATTCCATTTATAGTCTACATATTCACTTCCACACATAAGTTGCTTGGAAATTTTAGCTATTTCACAGACATATCTTCTGTCTTTCCATTCTGTCCTATTACTATTTTTTTTCCCTAGGCTCTAGCTTACCTGTGTGAGTGCGTTTATGTCTCTGCAGCTCATCCGAACGTGTAAAACGTTTCCCACAATATGACCAGGTACACATGAATGGCCTCTCGCCTGTGTGCCAGCGCAAATGTGCCCGTAGGTGTGAGGTCTTGCCATATACTTTGCCACAGCCTTGAATGTGGCAAATATGCTGTTTCTTTTTGCCAGGATCACCAGAACCCCTGAAATTGAGAACACAACTATTATCATTCACTCTGAAGACTGAAATTAAAGAAGCATAAAATATTAACAGCAATAGCTATATTGCAAACCCCTTTTTTTCATTTTCTTTTAAGTATGCGGATTGAACCCAGGGCACTTAACTCCTGAGCCACAACCCCAGCCCATTTTATATTTTATTTAGAGATAGGATTCTGATTAGTTGTTTAGAGCCTTGCTAAATTGCTGAGGCTGGTTTTGAATTCTCAATCCTCCTGCCTCAGCCTTCTGAGCCACTAGGATTATAGGCATGTGCCACCATACCTAGCCCCAAGCCCTTTTATTTATTTTATTTATTTTTATTTCTTTTAATATTTATTTTTTAGTTGTAGTTGAACAGATTACCTTTATTTTTATTTATTTATTTTTATGTGGTGCTGAGGATCAAACCCAGCACCTTACACATGCTAGGCAAGTGCTCTACCACTGAGCCACAACCCCAGCGCCCCTTTTATTTATTTTTTATTTATTTATTTTTTGGTACCAGGGATTAAACTCAAGGGCACTTAATCACTGAACCACATCCCCAGTCCTTTTTTGAATTTTTTTTTTAGAGACGGGGTCTCACTGAGTTGCTTAGAGCCTTGCTAAATTGCTGAAGCTAGCTTTGAACTTGGGAACCTCCTGCCTCAGCATCCAGAGCCACTGAGATTATAGGCATTCACCACCATGCCTGGCCCTTTTTATTTTTTGAGATGGGATCTCACTAGGTTGCCCAGGCTGGCCTCAAACTTGTAACCCTCCTGCTTCTGTCTCCAAAGTCCCTGAGGTTATAGGCATGCAACAGGACATCTGGTTTTAACCCAAACTTTTCTTCCTTCCTTCCTTTCTTTCTCTCTTTTGCAGTGCTGGGGCTTGAACCTAGAGCCTCCTGCATGCTCCACAGGTACTTAGTACTGAGCTTTAACCCCAACCTCTAAACTTTTATTTTTAAAAAAGATAAATCTAGACAGGTATAGCAGAGCATGCACGTAATCCCAGCTACTGGGGAGGCTGAGGCAGAAGGATCACAAGTTCAAGACCAGACTGGGCAACCCAAAGAGACCCTATCTCAGGAAAAAAAAAGGGGGGGGGCGGTGCTGGGGATGTAGTTTAGTGGTAAAGCATGCCTATGTTCAATCTCCAGTATTTAAAAAATAATCAATCTAGCAGATTCTGCTTCTTTTTGTTGTTATTTATTTTTTGGTACTGGAGATTGAAGCCAGAGGTGCTTTACAAATGATCTACATTTCCAGTCCCTTTCTTTTCTTTTCTTTTTTTTTTTTAAATTTTTTAAATATTTATTTCTTTTTTAGTTCTTGGCAGACACAACATCTTTGTTTGTATGTGGTGCAGAGGATCGAACCAGGCCGCACGCATGCCAGGCAAGCGTGCTACCACTTGAGCCACATCCCCAGCCCCTTATTTTCTTATTTTAAGACAGTGTCTAGCTAAGTTGCTTAGGGCCTCCCTAAGTTGCTGAGTTTGGCCTTGAACTTGTAATCCTCCTGCCTCAGTCCCCTTTAGGAATATAGGTGTGTGCACAGTTGATTCTGGTTCTTCATTGCCAAAATTCAAGTTTCCTCTACTGAATATTTGTTCTTTCCTGCTTTCTTGTTCCTTAATCAACTTTGTTGTCTATATATTTTTTGAAAGAGATGATCGTTTGCTTGATGCAGCTGAGTCAGAAGGATTACAAACTCCAGGCCAGCCTCTATAATTTAATGAGACCCTGTCTCAAAATAGAGTTGGGGGTGTAGTTCAGTGGTAGCTCCTAGGTTAAACCCTCAGTACCACCAAAAAAAGAGAGATAGATGATCACTATTACAGTGATTTGTGATGTCTGAAGACATTTTCTTGTCTTCCAGAACTTAAGTCTCAGACCAAGCATTACCCATGGGAAATATTATTATAGTGGTATTTTTGGTTATGGACTCACCTAATGAGCAAAAAAGGGCCTGCCCATTTAAACACTTGGAGGGAACTTTAAAGAAAATGTATGGTTGGAGGCTAGGGATATGGCTCAGTTGGTAGAGTGCTTGCCTTGCATGCATAAGGGCCTGGGTTCAATCCCCAGAACCATACACAAAAAAAGAAAATGTAATAACCGGACACAGTGGCCCACATCTGTCATCCCAACAGTTGGGGAGGCTGAGGCAAAAAGCTGAGGCAAGTTCAAAGCCAGCCTTAGCAACTTAGTAAGACCCTATCTCAAAATAAAATACAAAAGTAGAACTAGAATTGTGACTCAGCGGTTGAGCACCCCTAGGTTCAAACTCCAGTACCAAAAAAAAGTAGTATTTTACAATTACAAAATTTTTCTCGTAGAACAAGAATCAAGAGCCAAATGGTAAAAAAATGAAACCCCAAAAAGGTAACACAATATCACAGACTCAGCGGAAAAGGTGGATAGACTGAATAAAAGTTAAAACACAAGAGAAGAGCCAGATGTAGTACCATGTACCTATAGTCTTATCTACTTAGAAGCCTGGAGTAGGAGGACTGCTTGAGCCCTGAAGTTTGAGGCCAGACTGGGCAATATAAGAAGACCCTATCTTAAAAAAGGGGAGGGCAGGAATAGTGACACATACCTGTAATCCTATTGGCTTGGGAGAGTTCAAAGCAAGCCTCAGTAACTTAGCGAGGCCCTAGCTCTAAACAAAAACTTTAAAAAGGACTGGGGATGTGGCTCTGTGGTTAAACGTCCCTTGTTTCAATCCTTGGTAACAAATAATTTAAAATTTTTTTTAAAAGAGGGGGAGGCATGAGGGATCAATGATCCCAATTAGTGCAATGTATGTTAAAACAAAAATGTAATTTTTCCTCCTATATGAAGTAGATCCCATGTTCCTCTCAGGAAACAGTTCTGAGGCATTTTTTCCCCAAAATCAATTTATGACATATGTGATCCATTAGTGGGCACTGAGGAGATTTTCAAGAGGGAATTTTCTTGTGTTTTAACAGCACATATTATTACTAACAAAGGAAAAAAAAACATAACAGAAATAAAATCACATTTAGGAGCAAATCAGAGAATTTCCTTCAAAAAATGTAAGTAAGCCATGTGAAACTTTGTTAGAAGAAAACTGTGCTCTACTCAGTGCTTCTGACTTAGGCACATATGGCCCACTTTTCTATAATGCAGGATAAATAAGAAAAAATTTATTTTCTGTTTTGGTACTTTCTTATTTTTATATTTTTGTGCTTGCTTTTTTAATGGAATAAAACTTTAAAACAGTTTTTGCTTAGAAAAAGAAAAAAAAAAAGAAGTTTTATTGCTTTGCTAGCAAAGGAGAAACACAGGGACTCCTGTCCCAGAGGCTGTGATTCTCCCCATCAGGGGCTAACAGATTTTTAATTTGTTAATTTATTTTTTTACTTTAATACTAGGGATTGAACCCAGGGGCACTCGAGACCTAAGCCACATCCCTAGCCCTTTTTATTTATTTTTATTTTTATTTTTTTAAAGAGAGAGAGAGAGAGAGAATTTTTTTAATATTTATTTTTTAGTTTTCGGCGGACACAACATCTTTGTTTGTATGTGGTGCTGAGGATGGAACCCAGGCCACACTCGTGCCAGGCTTGAGCCACATCTCCAGCCCACCCTTTTTATTTTTTATTTTGATGCAGGATCTCACTATGTTGCTGAGGCTAGCTTTGAACTTTCGATCTTCCTGCCTCAGCTTTTCTTTTTTTCTTTTTTTTTTTTAAAGAGAGAGTGAGAGAGGAGAGAGAGAGAGAGAATTTTTAATATTTATTTATTTTTTAGTTCTCGGTGGACACAACATCTTTGTTGGTATGTGGTGCTGAGGATCGAACCTGGGCCGCACGCATGCCAGGTGAGCGCGCTACCACCTGAGCCACGTCCCCAGCCACATCCCCAGCCCCCTGCCTCAGCTTTTCAAGCTGCTGAGATTACAGACATGTGCCACCACACCTGGTTGGGAATAGAATTTTAAAGAGCATTTAAAAGATACCACATTCTGGGCTGGGGTTGTGGCTCAGTGGTAGAGCACTCGCCTCACACATGCAAGACTCTGGGTTCGATCCTCAGCACCACATAAAAATAAATAAGTGAAATAAAGGTATTGTGTCCAACTATAACTAAAAAATAAATTAAAAAAAAAAGAGAAAGAGATACTACTTTCTGTTCTTTTTCAAAAACATTGACTTCGGGCTGGGAATGTGGCTCAGGCGGTAGCGCGCTCGTTTGGCTTGCGTGTGGCCCGGGTTCGATTCTCAGCACCACATACCAACAAAGATGTTGTGTCCGCCGAGAACTAAAAAGAAATAAATATTAAAAAAAAAAATTCTCTCTCTCTCTCTCTCTCTCCTCTCTCACTCTCTCTTTAAAAAAAAAAAAACAAACAAAAAAAAAACCAGTGACTTCAAGGAAAAGAATAGTACTTAGAACTCACCAGAGGTAAATAATAGGTGCTACTGATGAAAAAAATTTGTCAGAACTTTGCAGGATCTTTTAGATTCCCTGATGGAAGAATTTTCTATCTGAAGTAAGCATTTTTTATTTTCAGTGAAAGCAATAGTCTGGGAATCTCATGATATTCACAAAACCACTGTAAGAAATCATTACAGGGTTGGGGTTGTGGCTCAGTGGTAGAGCGCTTGCCTAGCATGCGTGAGGCACTGGGTTTGAGCCCCCATATCACATAAAAATAAGTAAACAAATAAATAAAGGTACTGTATCCACCTACAACTAAAAATGTTTTTAAAAAAAGAAATCATTACAGAAGGTAGGTTTTTCTTTGCTTTTCTACAAGCAATCTTGTTAAAATCATCTTAAAATAGACATTTGATGGTAATTATTATACCAGTTAAATCCATCTGATTTCCTTAACTCTGGGTGGAAGTGGAAACCTTTAAATCCCTAAATTGTAAGAGTGAAGAATGAAAGATTAGAGCTGGAATCAAAGTCCCATAATATGGCTGGGTGTGATGGCACACATCTGAAATCCCAGAGACTCAGGAGACTGAGGCAGGAGAATCCCAAATTCAAGGCCAGCCTCGGCAATTCAGAGAGGCCCTAATCGACTTAGTGAGACGCTGTCTCAAATTGTATAAAGGGCTGAGGATGTGGCTCAGTGGTAAAGTGCCCTAGGGCTCATTCCCCAGTACAAAAAACAAAACAAGGACTGGGGTTGTGGCTCAGTGGTAGAGCACTTGCCTAGCATGTGTGAGATCCTGGGTTCCATTCTCAGCACCACATATAAATAAGTAAATAAATAAAGGTCCATCAACAACTAAAAAAATAAATAAATAAAAGGAGAGAGAAAAGAAATCAAGGTGTTTAAAAAAAACATTGCTGAGTCTTAAATATTAAAAAATTAACTCTCTTCATTTTACTTTCTAGTCCATTAATTTTTCTTTATATTCAAAAGAGTGAACTGATAAACTTACCTTCCTTCACTGTCTTTACAGTAAGGGCAGGTGCATGCTTCTCGCCGGGTCCTCCGACCAGCTTGGGGTTGGGGATCTGGGCTGTTCTCTCCTTCTTCTCCACCTGCTGTGTCATCATGTATCCCATCACCACCAGCCCCATGGAGGCCAAGCTGAGCTCCATGATCACCTGAAATTAAGAGAGACCAGGGTCAACATGGGTAATTGATAGGTAATGACAGACACAGGCATCTCAATGATATCTCACATTCACTCACAACACTGTTTATTCAAGGATTTTTTGTTTTCCACCATTACTGGGGATTGAACCCAGGGACACTTTATCATAAAGCTACATCCTGAACCCTACTATTTTTTTATTTTGAGATAGGGTTTCCCTAAATTGCCCAGGTTGGCCTCAAACTTATGATCCTTCTGCCTTAGCCTCCTGAATAGCTGGGACTGAAGGTATAGTCCACTAAGCCTGAATCTCTTCAAGGTTTTGTTTTGTCTTCAGTACTGGGAATTAAACTATGATTTCAAAGGTGTGTGTGTGTATGTATGTGTGCGTATGTGTGTGCATGCTTGCATGCTTAGTGCTAGGGTTGACCCCAGAGGTGCTTTATCACTCAGCTACACTGGCAGTCCATTCTGTTTTTTTTATTTTAAGACAGGGTCATACTACGTTGTTGAGGCTGAACTACAACTTGTGATCTTCCATTCTCAGCCTCCAAGTTGCTGGAACTGTAGGCATGCAAAACTGTGTCCAACTCAAATACAAAAGTTAGGTATGAGAGGCTGGGGCTGTAGCTCAGTGGTAAAGTGCTTGCCTTGCATGTGTGAGGCACTAGGTTCAATCCTCAGCACCACATAAAAATAAATAAAGATACTGTGTGTTCATCTACAACTAAATAAATATTTTTTTTTAAAAATTGGATAAGAGTGCCGGGCAAGGTGGTGCACACCTATAATCCCAGTGGCTTGGGAGGCTGAGACTCTAAGAAACCCAGTGAAATCCTGTCTCTAAATAAAATATAAAAAGGGCTGTGGATGTGACTCAGTGGTTGAGTGTCCCTGAGTTCAATGCCTGGTACCAAAAAAAAAAAAAGAGTATGAGGTATCTGGTTATAACTAAGTGATAGAGTGTGTGCCTAGTATGTTGAGTCACTGGGTTCAATCCTCAACACCACATAAAAACAAATAAAATAAAGAATGTATGTAGCATGATATTCCCTTTCAAAAAAATTGGGTATGAGGTTAGAAATAATAATTTCAAATTTCATTTAAAAGAGGGGGGGTTGGGCTGGGGATGTGGCTCAAGCGGTAGCGCGCTCTCTTGGCATGCATGCGGCCCGGGTTCGATCCTCAGCACCACATACAAACAAAGATGTTGTGTCCGCCGAAAACCAAAAAATAAATATTAAAAAAAAAAGAGGGGGGATTGGCATATCATCATGTGTCTGTATTAATCCCAGTGTCTAGGGAGGCTGAGGCAGGAGGATCACAAGTTCATGACCAGTCTTAGCAACTCAGTAAGACCCTGTCTCAAAATTGAAAATAAAAAGGGTAGAGTGACCCTGGGTTCAATCTCTATTACTTCAAATAAATAAATAAATGTTAATTTCACAAAGCAGGGGCTGGGTATGATGGCTTGTACCTATAGTTCCAGCTACATTGGAGGGCTTAAAGTAAGAGGTTTGCTTGAGCACAGAAGCTGGAGGCGAGCCTCAGTGGCATAGCAAGACCCTAACTCTAAAAAAAGAAAAAATAAATAAAAACATATTTTTAAAGAGAGATGAAATGCCAGCAAAGCTTCAATATCATACCAGAATTTGTTGCTTCCCCTTATTTCATTTTTTCTAGTACTGGGGACTGAACTCAGGACCACTCTACTATTGAGCTACATCCCCAGCCCTTTCGTTTATTTATTTTGAGACAGGGTCTCCCTAAAAATTGCCAGGGTTGGCCTTAAGCTTGATCCTCCCAAGTTACTCAGATTACAGGCATTAGCCACCACACAGGGCTTGCCTGTCTTTTTAATAACAGTTTTCTTTTTCTAAAAAAAAAAAAAAAAACAGTTTAATCTTAAAATGTGACATTGGTTAACTTATGAAATATATTAAAGACTTTACTTTCCAAGATGAAAGTAACTAGAAAATCAGAGGCACAGTTTAATAACAGTCTTGCCCAGGCCAATGATTGCCTCTAGAATCAGTTTCTAAAATAGCCATGGCTGTTAAACACTTCTTTTTCTTCAAAGGAAAGAGGTGTGCTGAAGTCATGATCTTCCAAGAAGACCACCATGATAAGTCAAAACCCTAATCTCCTATGAGAAAGAAAGAAAAAAGAAACTTGGGCAATACTAAAATAAACTGAAATAAGGCCTCCTTGGTAACTTTAAAAACAGCTAGTTCTCATATAGTTACAAAGACACTGTAGGGATTTTCCTTCCCGATTCATATGATCTCTGAAATAATTTTAAGAATGGTGCATTCTTTTTATGGATACTGGGGACTGAACCCAGGGGTACATAACCAGCCCTTTTCCTTTTTTTAAACTAAAAAAAGTTTTTTTAGTTGGAGATGGACACAATACCTTTATTTTTATATGGTGCTGAGGATTGAACCCAGTGCCTCACCCACACTAGGCAAGCACTCTATCACTGAGCCACAACCCAGCCCCCACCTTTTATTTTTAAAACTGATGATTTAAAACAGAATCAAGTATTTATTCTCTCTCCTACATTAGATTTACCTCACAGTAACCAAGTAGTTGATAGTGGGATGAATTTGGAGGCCATTCATGTAGTTTTATTGGCATTATATTTTATCATTTCTAGTTGTATGTTTCTCAGCAATTAATAGTACAATCTCTTCTATTCTCCGTTTTCCTTTCTAATTTGCTACCTCTAATTTACTTTGACTTTTCAGATTAATAAAACTACTATTATTTAAATAGATAAAATATTATGTATTATGAAAACAACTGTTTCTGTTACCTAGAGAGGAGACTTTTACTTCCTCATTTGGGGCTGTATCCAGATACCTGATGTTCTCTGGAATAAGTGATATGTTAATCAATACTACCTTTCAGCATGACTGAACACACAAATGCTTCATGATCTGAGATAGATTCATTGGATTAAATCTAATGTGTAAAATGAAACATGTCCAGAAAACGGTGTTTTTGATGAGATGTATTTTTCAAATTCAGCTTTACTTTATTAATACTTACTGAATTAATGTTAAAACAATGTTCCTGTGGGGCCTGGTGTGGCACATGCCTGTAATCCCAGCAATTTGGGAGGCTGAGAAAGAAGGACTGCAAGTTTGAGGTCAGCCTTGGCAACTTAGCAAGACTCTGTCTCAGCAGCACATAAAAACAAACAAATAAAAATAAAGGCATTGTGTCCAACAGAACTAAAAAAATATTTTAAAAAATAAATAAATAAAAGGTTGGTTTCCTAGACTCCTCTAAAGGTGACCAATAAGTTTCCTGAAAAATCAAGTTTGTTGAGATATATTTTACATATCATAAAATTTATCCATTACATAAGTTGAGAGTTCTCAACTGGGGCCATTTTGCTGTCTAGGAGACATCTGGTAGTATCTGAAGTCCTTTTTCATTTTCATGTCTGACATTCAGTGCTGCTAAACATTCTACAATGCTCAAGACTCCCACTCCTCCAATACAACAAAAAATTACCTGGCTTAAAAATGTTGATAATGCTGAGAGAAACCATAGTATAGACAAACACATAGTGTTGAGCAACCACTAATACAAACAAGATAAAACTTTTTGTTGTTGTTGTTACTAGGATTGAACAAAAGAGCTTAACAAACTGCAAACTCTACCACTGAGCTAGATTCCCAACCCTTTTTATTTTAAGACACAGTTCTGCTACATTGCCCAGGCTGGCCTTGAATTTGTAATCTTCCTGCCTCAGTCTCCCAAATCACTGGGATTACAGGTATCTGCCACCATGCGAAGTGAAGCAATATATAGAATATCTTTTTTTACTTGCATCATTCTAGGGATTGAACCCAGGGCCTCATGCACACTAAGTAAGTACTCAACCACTGAGCCACATATTCCTAGCCCAAAATATAGAACACTTCTATAACTTCAAATAGTTCTCTCATGACTCCTTGTATCAATTTATTTTCTTTCTTGTATCAATATGACACAGATTTAAATTTATTTGATGCTTCCATCCATTGTATTCATCCATGAGTTACTAACTTTATCAGATGCTCAAATTGTTCCACACTTGGTCATAGATACATAAAATTGGCTGTGGAGTTCTTCTGACAAGACATTTCACATTTGATATTTATTATGTACTCTATATCTAGAATTAGGGTTTTGGTTTTTTTTTTTAAGATTTTTGAAAAGAATTATTTTTAACTTTATTTATTTATTTTTATGGGACGCTGAGGCTGGAACCTGGTGCTTCACAGGTGTCAAGCAAGCACTCTAACAGTGAGCCACAACCCTAACCCCAGCTTTTTTTCTTAAGACTGGTTCTTACTATGTTCCCTGGCTGATCTCTATAATCCCACCTCAGCCTTTCAAGTAGCTTCAATTACAGGTATGCACCACCATACCTAGCTTTTAGAATCAGCTATTTCCTCAAGTATTCCCAATAATCCTAGTTTGTTTTCATAAGAAATTAGAGTTTTGATAACACATTTTCGTTCTGGGGTCATTTTTGTTACCTGATGATCCAGTAGATTCCACAGAACAGTGAACACACCATAGGAACAGTAAACAAATGCTATCTGCTGAATTTTTTTTTTGGGGGGGGGGAGTGGCAGGGCTGGGGATTGAACCCAGGGCCTTGTATATGTGAGGCAATCACTCTACCAACTGAGCTGTATCTCCAACCCCCTGAATTCTTCCATGTAGATTGTTGGCTAGTATTTAAGTGTCTTACATGTTAATCCAATGACTTTGGCATTTAACAAACTGCCAAAATGTCTCAACATTGATCCATTTTTCCTTTCCTTCCTGATTGATTAGGTTTTTTTTGTTCGTTTGTTTGTCCCAGGGGTGCTTAACCACTGAGCTACAACCCCAGCCCTTTTTACATTTTATTTTGAGACAAAGTTTTGCTAAACTGCTTAAGGCCTCACTAAGTTGCTGAAGCTGGCTTTGAACTTTTTTTTTTTTTTAAGAGAGAGTGAGAGA